GCTAGAAACAATTACGACTGAGTAGGGAGTTTGATCATCACTGGGTGCCCCCTACATTCTTGTGCACATCTAAGCTACGCTTGGAAAATCACTACAACATCTCCTTGTAAAGTCCATCAGTCTGGAGAAGCCCACAACATCAAAGCACAAAATGCCTCATGTACTGTCACTGGCCGAGACGATGAGACGGAAAATGAAAATGTCCCATACTTTCGGCCCTGTGCCACATCTAAGCGACGCTTGGAAAATCACTAGACATGCCCCCTCAGCCTTTTCAGGTGTGCTGAAATTGTTACACAATGGAAACGACTTGGCGATGCTCTTAACTTTAGACAAGAAAAATAATCGCCTGTTCCAATCAGAAAACAAAGGAATAATAAAATATGCAAGTGTGAGGAATAAAAATGTCCAAGCCCGTCTTCAGTTCATTGATTGGTGTGAAGCTCTGACTTATCTTCAACTTTCTTCCATTTTCGCTGGCCTCACCTTCGCATTTTAGTGGAACTTGGTATCAAAAAAACAAAAACAAAACAAAACAAAAAAAAAAAAAAAACTCGAAACTTGATTTCTTGTAATGTATTTTATTCAAGAGACGTTCCCACAAATTTAGTCAGAAACTTTCGCCTTTAACTTTTTTTGATGCCAAACATATTTCTTAATCAATTTGCATAAATTCTCCAGGATAAAGTTTTCTTTGATATGTACAGACGATCTCCATTTTTTAAATACGCGGGCTACTGTGTCTTTTCGCTTGAAAATGTTTAAAATATAAGATCTGGCCAAATAAAACATTGGTGTTATAATCGAAATTAATATTTTATTTGGTTCTTTGCTTCTTCCTCTTCTTCTTCTTCTTCATATTATTATTATTATTATTATCATTGTTGTTGTTGTTGTAGTTGTTATTTTTTGCCTTTGATTTATTCAGTATGGGTTTCCTCTAAGTCTTAACCAGTTACTTCAAGAGACAAGTTTTTCAGATGATGCAAACAGATAAGGTGCCATGCAGTCAAAGAAGAAATATATAATTGTGGTCGCAGAATGTAGAGAAATCTGCTTATCTCTTTCCGTTTGGTAACTTCCAAAGTGAAAAGAAAAAACGATAAGAATTTTAGCTATTTGTTAATAATTTTCAGTTCTATCTCACCAGGCGAACTTTTCTGAACTGAACACTGTGTTAATGGGAGATGTATTTGTATTCCAATTTTTTTAAATGTTGAATATATATATATATATATATTTGGTTGGATAGATGTGAGTTTGTGACCCTGGGTTTCACGCTTTAGCGATCGCTAAAGCGTGAAACCCAGGGTCAAAAACTCACATCTATCCAACCAAATATGTTAGCTCTATCTCTGATATTGAGCGCTTTTTAATAAGTACCGCGCATATAATATATAAATAATTATACATATATATATTTGTTTATATTTATATACACCTTTCACACACACATATATATATATATATATATATATATATATATATAACATACACGTAACACACACATCCAATTCTCAGCAACCATTAGAATTAGGATTTTCTTCTCCTGATGATGGCCATGCTGGCCGAAACTATTCGAGGAACCTAATTGAAAGAATAAAACAAAGAATATTAATATACAACAGTGTGACTGAAAATTTTAATGTTTTAATATTTTTTTATTGTTCAAAACATATATATATATATAGAGAGAGAGAGAGAGAGAGAAAGAGAGAGATAAGGGCAAGAAGAAAACTTATCTTAGCCGACATGTTTCGTCCTCTGAGGAACTTTATCAAGGTAAATGTAAAGATTTTATTTTGTGACAAGTATTTATATACAAGTGCAAAAATGTTATACCACATTCACTCTTTATGCCTTTCTTCAAGTGTATTGCATCTGTGATTTTTATTGAGTACACCTTCTCCTTTAGCATACTTCCGAAAAAGAAGTTAATTCTTTCTTAATTTGACAAAACTATGTTAAATCTCTAGAGGTAAAAAAAACAAAAACCTAGTCAATAATATCTCCTATGTGTCTACATTTTAGAGACATCCTATATTATACTGAACGAGATATTTACTGTATACATTTTAATTCACCAAGGTAAAACATGTACAATTTAACACCTCCAGTCAATTTAAATCAGAAACCACGTGAGCTATCAAAATGCAACAGCTGTGAAAA